ACATCATACATTTTATGAAAGGAAATCAACCTATACAGCAAATTCATACTTTTAAGAAATCACCACAGTCAGCCTTCAGCACTCACTAAAAAAGCAGTCCGTAGGCTGGGAAAGTGACTTAGTAGTAGATGCTTGCGTAGCATGCATGAAGCCCTGGGTTCGATTCCTTAGTACCACATAAACAGAAAAAGCCAGAAGTGGCATTGTGGCTCAAGTGGTAGAGTGCTAGCCTTGAGCAGAAGCTCAGGGACAGTGTGCCCAGGCCCTGAGTTCAAGCCTCAGTACTGGCAAAACAAAAAACAAAAAAATAGTAGCCATCAGCACTTTCTGACACAAGCAGAAAGATTACAACTTGCTTAAGGTTCAGGTGATTGTTAGCTTTTTGAAAATAAAGTATTTTATAAAGTATTTTTAAGTAGTTGTACAAAGGAATAAAGAATTTTTAAATTAAGGTATGTACTTTCATTAGACACAATGTTATTACAAAGTTAACAGACTATAGAACAGTATAAACCTAACTTTTATATGAACTGGGAAACAAAAACAAAAACCACAAGTTAACTCACTTTATTGCAATATCCAATTTATTATGGCCTGAAACCAAATTTGTAGTATCGCTAAGGTGTGTAATACATATAGACCTATGATAAAGGAAACACTTAATGGCTTCTCTTTGTCATATCCAAATTTGCCAGCATCTCTACTCCTACTTTTGGGATCACTAATAAGAGTTCTTTGAATACATGAATCATGAGAGTCAATCTGATACCCAGATAAGTGATTAACAGGAAGTAGCATATACTGCATAAATATGCAGACAAAGGAAGACAGAGTGAGACACTGAGAAGTTTCATCATACTACTCACAACAACAAGTAATTTAAAACTTAGGAATTTTTATTTCTGGAATTTTCCATTGAACATGTTTGGACTACAGTTAACCACAGGTAACTGAAGCTGTGAAAAACAAAACCTCAGATAAGGTAGGACTAAGGCACAATTATAGTTTTTCAAGGCCTTTTTCATTCTTTCACGTTGCCATTCAAGAGTCAGAAAGAAAACCAAAGTTCTCGCAACAGATTTACTTCAAGTAATAATATAAGTAGCATTCCTAAGTCCCTTCCTTTCTTCTTCCCTCCCTCCCTCTCTCCCTTCCTTCCTTCTTTTTTTGTGCCAATCATCTTGGGGCTTGAACTCAAAGCCCAAACACTGTCCCGGAGCTTTTGTGCTCAAGGCTAGCCCTCTACCACTTGATCCACAGTTCTACTTCTGACTTTTCTGGTAGTTAATTGGTGATTAGAATCTTACAGGCTTTTCTGCCAAGGCTGGCTTCAAACCACAATCTTCAGATCTTGGCCTCTTAGTAGCTACTATTACAGCTGTGAGCCACTGGCACCCAGACTTAGTCCATTTCTTAATGAAAAATTTCTAGGGCTAGGAAGGTGGCTCAGTGGTAGAGCGCTTGCCTTGCATGCATGAGGCCCTGGGTTTGATTCCCCAGCACCACATAAGCAAAAAGGAAAAAAGCCGGAAGTGGCGCAGTGGCTCAAGTGGTAGAGTGCTAGCCTTGAGCTGAAGAGCTGAGGGATAGCGCCCAGGCCCAGAGTTCAGGCCCACGACCGGACCCCCCCCCCCCAAAAAAAAATTCTATTCATTTGCTAGAAAAACATGGTCAAAATCTAATTTTATAACAGCAGTCATACATTGTACATTAAATGTTTTTTCCTAGACAAAATACTACAAAACTTTAATAAAAAAGAAAATGTTTTCATGTACATATCAACAACTTTTCTGACTCTGAAGAACTGAAGAAGATTTTAACAAAAGCATCACAACAAAATCACTATACATTCATTTAAAAACTGAATCATTTAGAGATGAGATACAGCTCAGTAGTAGAATACTTACCTGATATATGCAAAGCCCTAAGTTAAATCCCCAGTGACACGCACACACATAAACACATATTTTAAACTGACTTTCTGGGGTGCAGGGGGCCTAGACTTACTAGGTAGGTGCTCTACCCCTTGAGCCACACCCCATAGCTCTGAAACTGATTATTAAATTCTCCTAAAAAAAAAACTATACGAATAATAAATTTACCAGACTAGGTTATTTGTTTTCTTTATTTGCTCCTTCACAAAACTGGCACACAACACTTGAGCCATGTGTCCTGCTCAGTTTTTGTTGGTTATTTTAGAGATGAAGCCTCATGGGCTTTTCTGATGGCTATCTTCAAACTGATATCCTTCAGGTTTCAGCCTTTTGAGTAACTAGGATTATAGGCATGAGCCATGAGCACCAGCTAAGCTGGTGCATAAAGTGAAATTATCTATTTATATAACCCAATAGTTACTCCTTGCCATTTATGTGCTTGATATGAATTAATCTATTTAATCTACACAATAATTTCAAGATCTAGAAGTTATTATCAACCTCTTTTGGAACTAATAAATAGTAGAGCTGAGACCTGAGTCAGTTCAGTCTGAATCCAATCTTAGCCTGTTTTTTATTTCACACCGTCTACTTTCGACAGTCAAAAGGATTCCCCTGAATTGTTACATGCCTCTTCTCCTGAAGACAGACAACTGTCAGTAGATTACCTGCACAGGTAACAGGTTCATTCTAACATTATATTTGCTTTTCAGAATGCACTCCATTATGTTCTCCTTTAAAATTTATTGTGTATATGGAAGCTAAATTTTCAGGCTGAATATAAACAATTAAACTATCATTTAAAATAACATTTCAAAGAAGAGGTTTGTTGAATTATAATAAATGATCTTCATCTTTTATTATGTCCTCTAAAAATGTACTCCAGGTCCCAATAGTAACATGAAGTTCTTCGGTTGTCTTTGTCCCATACATCACCAGGAATGATTTCATGTATTCTAGTCCTCATCACAAGCTCCACTAGGAAATGAGATTTAAACTATGCCAGTTCTCAGGAAAGGTTAAGAACAAAGCCAGGAAGAGAAAGGGTAAGGTAAGGAAGTAGTCACATTTATTTGTATATCTATTCAATTCTAAAGCTGAAAGGGCTTCTACATTAATACTATTATTGTTATAATTCAATTTTTTAAAAAGTCTGAACAATGATGAATATCTAACTACCATACTTACAGATTTGGAATTCAACACACTTACAAACTGCAAACTATTTGTATTCAATATATTGTTTATTATAGCTATCTCTTCCAATTTTTCTGAAAATTTATAGCTTAATTACTTGGGGAAAGGTAATGTTGAGGAAGCTATTGCTCCTTTTAAATGCATAAGTTTTAAAAAGGCTTTGTACATAAAGTAGTCAGTCAGCAGATATAGATTTTTGGGATAATGTCATTCATTCAAGATACATAATCTTCTCATTTTAAACAAGAAGTCTGATACTATGTTCAGATCATTGGAACTTGTTTTCTCTAACTGCCAGAGTTTTAAAATGTTTTTAACAGATTTTTAAAAAATGGGCCACATAGAGACATAGTTCATTGTAGTTCATTGTGTTGAACTAATCAGTAAAACCAGACAGACATGCACTAGTAGTAATATGTATATGTACACAGTATTCTTATAGTACAATGAGAAATAATTTCATTCAAAACATCAGCCTGAAGTGCAATTTAGCAATAATTTCAAAGTCACAAAAATGTTCATAGCTTATAACTCTGTAATTCAACTTGTAAGAATTTATTCTAACAAAATATCAGAGATCTATTAATTTAGTAAGTTACAACAGACTGTGTTAGGCATTGTTTTTATGATCCAGAATTTGCAATCTGATATTATATCCTAGTCTAGTTATTTAACTTTCCTATACTCAGTATATTCATCTATGAAAGGTTTACACATTTTATGAGTAAAAGATTTTATATTTCAGGGCTGGGAAGGTGGCTCAGTGGTGGAGTGCTTGCCTTGCATGCATGAGGCCCTGGGTTCGATTCCTCAGCACCACATAAGAAAAAAGAAAAAAGCCGGAAGTGGCGCTGTGGCTCAGGTGGTAGAGCGCTAGCCTTGAGCTGAAGAGCTGAGGGGCCGTGCCCAGGCCCAGAGTTCAGGCCCCACAACTGGACCCCAAAAAAAAAAAAAAAAAGATTTTATATTTCATATCTCAATGGGTTGTTAAAATGACTTATTTGTAAAGTTCTTGCATTCAATAAGCACTCTGTATATAAACATAAAATAGTAGTTATTTCCTGTAATTATTATATATGCATATATATACATATGTAAATAAAATTTGAAGAAATATATCAAAATATTATCAAAGATCCTGAATCCTAACAAAACTAATTCGGAGAAAAATCAGAAAATCTATGCAATGATTATATATTAGAAGATATTAAAAGGTATTTTATAAGGCCAAGTATTGTGTTTCATACCTATAATCCCAACTACTCAGGAGGAAGTGATCAGTTTAAGACCAGCACAGGCAAAAAGTTAGAACTCACCTTAACTAACAAATTGAGTTTGATGGTGCATGTCTGTAATCCTTGCTTTATGGTTAGAATAAGTAGGTGGATTGCTGTTTTAGGCCAGTGCTGGCTTAATAAATAAAACAGGACATTATGTTACAAAATACAACTAAAGCAAAAAAGGGCTAGGGGACTGGCTCAATTGTATAGCACCTGTCTAGCAAGTGCAAAGCCCTGATTTCAAATCCTAGTACTGCCAAAAAAGTTAAAAACTAAATATGTATGATAATTTTATATATAATGCAATATACATAAGATATGCTTCTATTTTTAAAAAGTTCTTGTATAATAATGAAGTATTTGTGAATAAAATATGTATTTAAGATTTATTTTAAAATACGTTAGAGATTTATGTAGAGAGGTTTTCTTCAAAAAACATTCTTAATATTAAAGAAGTAAGTTACTTCTGGGTAATGATTATTACTAGATTTTATTTTCTTTATATTTTTCTGTTTCTACAGTGATTTGTAATTATTTTTAAAAGCAGGAAAAAGTTAAAAAAAAAAAAAAACTTGAAGAAAATCCTTACCAATACTCCATCCACAGATGAAACTTTCTCCCAAGTTAACCAAGCTCTTTCTCTGACATGATCTGGTATCTTTAATTTCTGACATAATGCAGTAAAATCAGGTTCTTCCGTTTCTTCAAACTCAAGCCTACCAAATGAAAATAGTCATATAATAGGCACACACTTATAAATTAAACTGGTTAAGTGAACATTTGTTTCAAAGGTTTATACATAATAGCACTATTCTAAAAGGGAACATGACTATGTACTTTGTCTTATTTTTTTAAAATCATACTTAGAATTTAAGCGTATGTTTATCTTTTTCATGATTTTCCAAAATAAGGATACCACATGGTGAAAACATGGTAAATCAAATATACTCTAGAGCAGCAAAACAGTTTTGTAAAGAAAGCAAAATAGCTCATCCTCTTGGGAAAATGGGATAATAGCAAGAGAAAAGCCCATGTATAATATTACAGTGATTTCAATGCCAATGACTTGGCTAAACTGTGGTCTATACTTATCAATGTTTCATAGAATTACTACCTACTAATTACTACCTACTAATAATAATCTTACATGATTATTAAGCTGCTATAAATTATCACTTATTCCTGCTCTTTCTCTTCAAACTTTCTTAAACATAATAGTCATCCAGTAAGTTCTTACCGTCTAATTCCTTTTCATTCATTTAATACCTATAGTATAGCATAATTTATTACCCATGATATAGTATAGTATAAGGAATAGCTTAATTTTTGAGTAGTTACTGTGACCCTGGTACAAAGTACCTTAGATGCATGGTTTCACTGAGTCCTCACATGAGCCCTATTTGCAAAGTGCTCCCATCCTTGTTTTATACGTCTCTACAAAATCAAAGACGTTAAAGCACTCAATCAAGATCATAGCAAGTAAGAAGTAACCATGACAGGACCCCAATAGTTTAACTCTATAAAACATACCCTGACTACATTCTAGCTTGCCAACAACTCCTTCAAAGTTTCATTAACTTTTGGTTATTTCAATCATGACCGTGGCATGCTGTTCCTAGTCACAGTTTCACTTTCAATTACATTACACAGGCCAAAGATAGTTCAATAGAAATACCAACTCTCAAAGTAGAAATGAACACTGTCACTGCATCCCTAAAGCAAGGTTTTTTCCCAGACTGCTAAATGGTGGTACTATCCTTACTAAGTACAGTCAGCAACAGAATATGGAACAGTAGTCCTATAGATTATAAAGAAGCTGAAAAATTCTTACCACTCAGTGACAGTTTAGCCATCATAACGTAGCACAACTATTTACTTGTTTTGAGTAATGCTGGCATAAACAAATACAATGCACAAGTCATATAAAGAGTATAGTACATGTAATTGTATACAGTACATAATGCTTGAAAATAAAATCATATTGGTTTGTACGATACTAAAATTTTATCATTAAAACCACCACTTATTTTAAAAGTTTGATATAAAAATTTGTGTAAGCCAGTAGCAGCCTTATAAATCTGGTATTCCCCCCTCTCCTGACTGGAGCTAGAAGCCACATCAAGACATTAACCTGTAGATCAACCTAGGTTTGTGTTACATGAATTCTATGATGTTTACACAAAGTTCACCTGACAGTTCTCAGAATATGAGTACATATTCCTGTTAAGCACACAACTGTAGTTAATCTACAAAGACCTACTGTCTGACCTATTGACTTTTGTGGATATAAATAGCAAAGAACAGACTGTATTTGTATGGCTTTGACTTAGAGGAGAATGTCTGATAGTTCCCAAAATTAGGTATAACATAATGCGTTGAGGGAGGGAAAATGAAAGAGCCAACGTCCCAGGTGATAGCCAGAACTTCAATTTCTGTGCTTACTCTAAAATAACAAGACAGTTCTAAATGTGTGTGAATGGCATTATAAGACAAATCCATTATGAGGCAAAAGGATGGTAAGCTCTAGGCAAACCTGAGATAGAGAAACTCTATCAAAAGCAGGAGATCGTTGATCATGGAGAATAAGGCAGAAGTGATCCTATTCACCTGCCAATAGATCTCTGGTCTCAAAACCAGTAACATCAACAATGTTCTTTCAATTCTAGGGTGAATTTTTTACATCGCTGCTCTTTGCAAAGTTTTATATACATCAGAATTCAATTTAAAAAACTTCTTCTAGAACACCTTCCATCTAGGTTCGTTTGTTTACCACTGAGTAAGGTTTTAAATGGAACTTTAAGACAATCTAATTAAATATATGAATTTAAATAGCTTTGTAAAAGTCCATTACCAAAATTCTTTTCCTATCTTTTACAATCCTGTCTTAATTCTGTTAAAGTCTGGGCAGAAGAAAGAAAGGCACTATTCAGTGAGGATAAAATGGGGCCTGGTCACCAGGCATGGTGGCACAGGCCTGTAATCCCAGCACTTGAGAGAACAAGGCAGGAGGATGGTGAGCTCTAGGAATGCCTGGGCTAGAGTCTGTATCAAAACAACAACAACAACAAAAAGAAAGAGAGGAAGGAAAAAAAAACAATGGTTGGATGGAGGTGTTGGTGAAAAATGAAAATAGGGGAGAGAGAGGTGAGGGGGCATAAACTGATCTCATTCCCTTGCCAACAGATCTGTGGCCTTAAAGTAAAACCAGTCAAATCAACAATCCTCTTTCGATTTTATTTAATAATAGAGTTAACACCGTTGGAAAAAAAAAATGTTGAAATACAGTATCTCTCTGTCATGTTCCACTGCGTCCACACGGACTTGCTTTAGATTTCACTTAGTAAGTGAAGAGAAAAAGTTCCTGCTAGCAAGAACCCCACTGATTCCGTACTCCCCCCCCCCAAAAAATAACCCCGAAAAGAAGGGTGCACACCTTTGAGGGGACACTCAAAGGCAAAAGACCAAAAACAAACAAACAAAAGGACGAAATACTGAGGCATGCCAACGTCGATTGGCACGCAAGTCCTATTCAACAGAGAAAGGAAAAAAAAAAGTTTTGGAAACTTGCACGCATTTTGGGTACAATATCCCAAGAAAAACTTTTTGCCCACTTACCAGTCCCTCTCAAGAGTTCTGCTTCGCCAGAACTTTAAATCCCCCAAGGCCTGGCAGGACTGAGTGAAGGGCACCCCCCCCCCCCGCGCCCCACCAAGCCGCTCAGCCGGGAACCCTCGCGGGGCCATCGACACCCACGACTCCAGCAATGCACGTTCGAGGCTTTTTATCGGCCTTTCCCAGGACTGCACTGTGCAGGACGCAAACGCTCGCTCAACTGTTGGATTTGCAGCAGAACCAAATTGAGGGGGGGGGGGGGGGAGAGGATGGGAGAGAAGGAATGGGGGAGTCTCCAAACGACTCCGGAGTCTTCCAGATCTCCGTAGGAAAGACCTTCTCCGGCAGACACCGGTCCGCGCTGCGTCTTTCACTCGGCTGGGCTGCGCCCGTCGGGGGCTCGCGCGGAGCCGGCGCCTCCCCGCCGGCCGCCGGCCGCCGCAGAAGCCTTGCACCTGTCACTTCGCTCAGGAACCCGAGCCCCACCCGCCCGACACCTGTCAAGCCGGAGCCGCGACCCCGGCGGAGAGATGCCCTTCCCCTCCGCTCGCGAGCCCGCAGCCCGGTCCCCCGCCGACCGCCGCCGCTCCCGCCGCACTAAGGAGCCCGAGCGCGGTCGTGCCCCGGCGGGGACCCGGTCCCCCTCCACACACGCACGACAAAGATGCGCCCCCCACCCCCGCCGCCGCCGCCGCCGGTGCCTCCGCAGGGCGCCCGCGCGCCGCACCTTCCGCGCGCCCTTCCCGCCCGCGGGCCCGCGGCGGCCGCGGCGCTCGCTCACCTGGCCAGAGGCAAGTCCTCGGGGCCGCTGTCTGGCTCCGGGTCTTCCGCAGGCGGTGGTGGTGGTGGCAGCGGGGGTGTTGGGGGCTCGACGGCGGTGACCGCCGCTCTCCGGGGGTGTTTGGGCGGCATGACGCGCTTCCCCGGGCTGGCGCCGGCGAGCTGTGGAGACGCGCGGGCGGGCGGGTGCGCGCGCGCGGCGGGGCACGCCCCGTCCCTTCCCGAGACTCCCGTTACAAAAATAATGTGGACGTCCCCTGAGACAACCGGACGCGCCCTCACCCCCCCCCCCACGCCCGGCAACCGAGCGCCGCGTCCAACCGCGGGAAAACGTCACTTCCGCCCGCGGCGTCACGTCCGCGAGGCTCCCCGGGCCTGCCGGCGTCTTGTTGGGGGGAACCGGGGCGCCGGGTGAGACGCGGGCCCGGACGAGGGCACGCGGACTGGGCGGGAAGCCTGGGCCTCTCCTTCCCGCCCTTTTCCCTCCTACCCCGGAAGCCTGTGCCCGCTGCCTGCATCGGCGTTCGCCAAAACCTCTCCGGTCGCAGCCGGTGCGCTGGTGGGGCAGCTTCACAAAGAGGCTGACAGGTGACCTCGGGACCCCATCCTTTATCTGTGGGGCTCTCCGGGGCCAGCGCGCAGCCAGGCCGCCGGCATCCCCGGGCTCTCGCGCCCCGGGCGGGCACGCCCCTCTCCCTCCTCCGGCCGCGCCTCCCTCCGCTCCCGGCTGCTCCCGCCCAATCCCCGGACCTCTGTCGGCCAAAACAAAAACAAACGTGGAACCGGAGTAGGGGCTGGACTTTGCCTATCGCTAGTGGGAGTTACCGCGGAGAGGCAATTGACCAGCCCGTCGGGATCCCAAGACAGGAAAAGAACAGACTGTAGGACAATAAAAGGTCTGGGTGGGGTGAAAACGGAAGACACCGTTTAAGGAGGATCTTCAGAGAAACTGTATGTAGCCACTGAAAAGAAGTTTGGTAGCCAATTTAAAGTTTAAGGCCAGCTTTCTAAGTCCTGTGTTTTACATAATCATCTCGTTTAATCCTCAGAAACAGCTCCTCGGAATGGATAGGATTAGCATTCCACGTTTCGGATTGGGAAAAAGACTCAGAAGAGTTCATTCAAGTGATGGGCAACGACTTGAACCCAAGAATATTTGACCAGATGTATCCTAAGTACATCAGTGCTGCAAACAGACATCAGAAAAGAGCAGACTAGAACTACCACCACTGAATATGGGCTTAGAAGTTGTAGCTCTTTGTTTATATTAATAGATTTCTACGGTAAGTACACGATTTCTCTCTTTAACACACTCTAAATTGCTCTCCCAGAACAACTCCGATAGCTGTTGTGAATCAAGTGCAGATGTGCTCAGGTAGAAACTCCTCTTGGAGCAGCTGCACAAGGATTGAGGCATCAAGTAGGTTACAAGCCTGGATTTATCCCCAGGAAGCTGTGTAGTGGTTCTTTATTTCTCTGTGTATCATAAAGTATGTCAGGATGTGTGAAGGCTTGCAAACACTGGCCTACTCACTAGCCAGTCCTGCCCAACTTCAGAAGTTCTCCATTTGGAGAGGAGCTAGGGCCAAACCCAGATCCAGTCACATAGAATGAATGACTAAAACAAGAGCTCCATTCACCTTGCACCACATAGGAGCAAGAACTCAGGATGCTGTTTTAACTTTTGTTAAGATTGAAGATAGTTGGCTAGGAGCCTGGTAAAAAGAGATACAGGAATGACAAAAGCCTACCTCTTAATTGTTATGCAAATGTCACACTTGCTAATTGTTGCACTTGTTGAAAGCTGAGATAGACTAACCAAGAGACAAGCAGAAATGTTGAGGTTAATGTAGTAAGAATAGCAAAAGTTCTGAATCCTCAGTAACAGTCTCTTGATTTAACCAACCCTAGAACTGACTTCAACTGAGCTGTTGTTTTCAGCATCATAACTGATCATTTTCCTGTGAGCCCCTTCAGGATAGAGACCAAACTTAGCTGTCTTAGGATACACAGTAATTGCTTGCTGGCTAAAAGTAGGGAAAATAATAACAATAAAAAATAAAAATAAACAAAAGTAGGGAAAGCCAAGGAAAATTCTTGGAATAGATGTTAATGTTCTTTATATGTAGAAATGACTTGCTTTTTTAAACCTAGTTTATTAACATCTTAGATTTACCACAACTAGGATAAATCAAAAGAGGCTTACCAATTTACAAAATGATATGTATCTCTACCATGATTTAACTTAGCTTTACTTCCTAGTGCATTTTAAATATATTTCTCTTCCTCACAACCTGGGGATAACTGAGGAAACCAAAATTCTTGCATTCTCCACCACAGCCTTCTTTTTTCAAAGAAGTACTAAAAATTACAAATTCTTTTTTAAATTTTTATTTGGTTTAATTGGTAAATAAATACAAGAGAATTTTTGGAGACCACTGACAATATAGTAAACTTTAGAGAATTTATTTCTGTTTCACTCACTTATGCTTCTTGGAATGGAATATCTGGCATTATTCACTAACAAATGTTTAATGTGGTTTAAATTTACGTTCACTTTATTTTCAGAAACTTGAAAAACAATCTAAATAAGGATATACAAAAATTCTTCCTTTTCCCCTGAGAATTTAAAATACCATTTTTACAAGTTAAAACCTTTAATAAAAATTTAGAATTATAGTGCCTAAGTATAATAAAATGGTCACATTTACTTACTTGATCATTAGTAATGAAAAAAAAAATATGGTGGCTCCTAAAGCAAGGGAAATTTGTAAAGTGAGAATTTCCCCTTGTGGGGACTCAAAGTTTTGCCTTATTACTTTTACTTCACCTTTTCAAACAAAATTGCTCCAACTTATAAGAATGTTTACATGGAGACTTTTAGCCTTGAATATTGGTTATACATGCTAAGATTTAAGAACTCCCAATAATGAGATTCAGAAGATGACCCACACATTGGGATGTGTAATTCAGTAAAAAGAAGTTTCCTTTGATCAACACACACACACACACACATTGCATTTTTTAAAAGATTGATGTAATATCAAAAATAAACACTTTGCTAGGCACAAATGGGTCAGTCTGTAATCCAGGCTGAGATCTGAGGATCACAGCAGGAAGCCAGCCTAGGCAGGAAAGCCCATGAGATACTTATATACAATTAACAACCAAGAACCTGGAAGTGGAACTAGGTTCAAATAGTAGGACACTAGCCTTGAGCAAAAAAAGCTTTGCTACAGTGCTCAGGCCCTGAGTTCAAGCCCAAGACTGGCACAAAAATAAATAATAAAATAAAAGCTTTCTTAGAGTTTTTAATCTGGAAAGGAAACCTTTAGTTTGAGACTCCTTCAGTGACATTAGAAAACTATTTGTCTCCACTAGTTAACAAGTTTTCTTCACCATGTTTGCCTGGCCAACCTTACACAATATTTCTTTTTCTTTATCTAACTGCAGCGCATTGAAAGAGCAGTCTCCTTTGGTTTGTACTACTTCCCCAATTTCTCCATTTCCCCAGATGTGCCTGGCTCATCAACACCACCACCATATATATACTCTGCTGAAACCACTGAGTCACCAATGCTTTACTCTACTGAAATCACTCTTGTTTCAAAGGAACCAGTGTCCTAGTTGTCAGATCAGTGGCTTCTTTGGGGGTCGTCAATTTCCTTGAGCTTTTTTACAGTTTACACAGTAAATTACTCCTTTCTTTAAAAAAAAATTCCCTATTCATTCATAAATCTATGTTTCCCTTCTCTCTTCTCATTGTAAACTCTTGTTCGTTTTCTGCTATCACTTCTATGAGGGAATTCCTCTGGAGCAATACTAGGCAGTGTGGTCCTTGTACCAGTACCAGTCAGGAAACTGCTGTTTAGTCCACAAATTTGAGTAAGTATCAAATCATGCTGACTTGCAATCCCAGCACTCCAGAGGCTGAGGCAAAAGGATCTGGAGTTTGAGGCCAACCTGTGCTAAATAGTGAATCCCAAGCCAATCTGGGTTACAAACTAAGGCTCTCACTCAAAACAAAGCAGAGATAAGTTCTAGAGCACTTTGGCATATCAGCAGTTTCCAAACACATAATCACTGGACACCTCTCATTACACAGAATTAGAGCAAAGAACAGCTCTCTAACAAGTTCTCTAACTTGTATGATGAGTTAGAGATAACATGGCTTGTCCTTGTCACATGTATGCAGTAAGACCATATGGCAATGAATGACATTTAGGTTATTTTGTCTCCTGCAACTTGAAAGGAATAAAAGTCTGTGAAAATGTATTTATTTACTCATTGATTTTCAGTCATTAATTTTAATTGTGCTTGTTATATTGATATTTATAGCTAAGTTAAAGAAATAAAATTTATACTCTTTAATAAGCATGTTATATTTGTTTGTTTGTCTGGTGCTGGTACTGGAGCCCTGAACTCAGGGCCTTAAGTTCTTTCTTGGCTTTTTCCACTCCGGGCTGGTACTATATCGCTGGAGCCACAACTCTACTTCCTATCCTTTATTTTAAATCCTATATTATACACATGAAAAAATTCCTCACTGTCTTATGAATAAACTTCACACATCTATAGTGTGTTAGTAATAGTGTAGTAAATTAAACAGTAATCATAGAAATAATTCCAAAGTACTAAAGATCTAAGTGTTGGTACAGTTTTACTTACTGCTTACTGAAATCATTTTTATAACTCATGGCTAAAACCATCTGCCAACTACATAAGCAATGAAGCTGTCAAATGTAAATAACAGTTGTATATGTATAAAATATGAAGAAACTATGAGCTTTCCAAGACATTTGACTATTTACTCAAAATAAGCTTTACACAAAGTAATCATGAGTGGAGTCCATTTCTTTATTGAAAGTTCACTCATGTGTAACCTTATAGGACAATTTTTTAAAGTTGTATTCTGATGAATTTTGGTTAAAGATGAACAAAGCCTTCTTCATTATAGATAAAAGTCAAAAGCAAATATCCTGAACTTACTGAAATTACTTTAGATTTCTTCTTCATACACTTGGGAGTTTTTTCTGTTATGCTAGTGCTATTAACATACAATTTTTTAAAAGCAGTTTAGCTATACATTATCTCCTTAGAATAGAATATAACCAATTCAGTCAACCTAGATTAGATTGTTTAATGAGCAAGGGACATACTCCTTTATCATATTAAAATGTTTTAAGTTAATATTCATTCTGGCTGTTAATGTTCAATGTGAGAAATTGTTACTTGACTAACAACTAAGAGCCAAACATATGTACAGCAGTGTTTGGGGTAGGAAGGAAAGCATAATGTGTTGTCTAAATATTGTTTCATTACCCTGTGAAACAGAAATAGGCTCTGGCTTATGGAAAGAAGTAACAATTTATTGAAAGAATACTTCATGGAATTAAAACAAATGCTGGAAGCTAAGATTCAGGAAGGACAGTGTATCAGACACACCAAAATGTGTATATGGGACTGGAGGCATGTGTATATGGTACAGTCTGCCTAAAACTGTAAGGCTCTGAGTTCGGACTCCAGTACTCCCTCACCAATGTGATTTTTTTCAATGTTTGTTTTATTTTGTTTTAAAATATGTATACAACACCAAACCCCTTTCCTGACTACAGAGTCAATGGACATTTGTTTTCTCCAGCTGCTACCACAGCAACCAACTCTGCACAGGCTCTGCTCAGCCACTACTGCTGCAAGAGACTTCCCTCCCAAGCCACACACAGCTCACCTCCCACCACAGCATGAGTGGAATATTACCTATTCATTGGGTCTTTAATGTATGAGCAGCCTGGAAGTACAGAGGAGTTCATGCTTTTGGGGTAAACCTTTATTCAACACAGATGCATCCAGTTGAGGCATTCTTTTCCCTTCATTGATGAAGTTGGTAGAATTCAACTTTTACATTTGCCAAGCAAACTCACTTTTCATGTAAAGACAAGTTGCTGTATTTCTCACATCCTGCCTCTAAGAAAAAGACTCATTACTTAGTGGCCATTTTTAGATTCAAGAACAACATGTACTGTTTTTATGACTACAACCCCCGCCACTTATTACATGACTTAGAAAGATTCTATTTCAAATGGCTACCAGAATGGGAAAATACAAAAGACTTAAGATAGGGCAAGTGCCTGACGCCAGTGGCTCACCCTCACAATCTGAGGATCATGGTGTGAAGCCAGCCAGGGCTTTGGGAAAGTCTCCAATTAATCACCAACAAGCAGGACAAGTAGCTGTGGTTCAAGTGGGAAAGCCCTAGCCTGGAACTAGAGTGCCCGGGCCCTGAATTCAAACCCTAGGACTGGCAGAACAAAAGAATAAAGGCAAGATTAAATTATGAAGTCAGATTCCTGGGAATATAACTCAAGTAATTCATATTTATTGTAGTATAACTTACAAATAGCCAAAATTGTGAAGTAAGCTTAGGTGTCCAACAACAGATAAATGAATAAAGAAAATGTGTAATGTATATTCAATGGAATATTATTCAGGCATAAAGGAGAGTAGCACTCTATCATTTGAACAAAAATAGATGAAATTGCATATCATGTTAAGCAAAATAAGCCAGATTCAGAAAGACAAAAATTACATGTTTTTAAAGACATAAAAGTAGAAAGGAGACTATTTGGGAATGAAAAAGGACCTGCTGGAGGAGGAAGTGAGGACATTAGTGGGTAATGGGGAAATTAATATGGTCAAAGTACATTATGTACTTACATGAAAATGTCAAATAAAACCTACTAAAATGGTTATTTCTAAAAGAATGAAGTCAAAAGAAAACAAAGCATTCTCTTAGGAATAGAATAGGTGTGTTCCCCCTCCAAAGTGGTAAAAGTAAAAAAAAAAGGAGATTTATTAATGAACTGGACACAAGCAAGAAGAGGTAGGAAGGTATTAGAACCCATCTTCTGACCAGTGTTTTAAGTTTACACAGAGGAAGAATTGGAATCAAGGGATTGAGAGGCATGCATAATTAAGCAGTCCGGGGCAGGCTGTAAGGGAAGTAGTCACCACCGTCATCACTTGAGGGAAACAATCTGGTTCCCATAAAATGATTACTCCTGATACAGGAGGCCCAAGATGATAGGTAATTGTCTGCATTTGGAGGATGATCTATCCTAGGAAGGTCTGCTATTCCTTTCCTTGGGGGGATTCTCTGTCCTTTGTTATAAAGATTCTATTGGATCAATCCTGTCTTTCCTGAAACCCAAGGTAACTACAAAAGAGAGAGTCAGAGTATAATAACATTGGTGCATAATGAAGGTAGAAATGCCAAACTTTTGTCCTGCTTTTAGTCAACATGTGGCTCAAGAAGTGAGTCAATTATTTTTCTTTCTTTTTTCCTTCCTTCCTTCCCTCCCTCCCTCCCTCCCTCCTTCCTTCCTTCCTTCCTTCCTTCCTTTCTCTTTTTTGCCGGTCCCTGGGCTCAAACTCTGGGCCTGAGTGCTGTCCCTGAGCTTTTTTGCTCAAGACTGGTGCTCTACCACTTAAGCCACAGTGCCACTTCCAGCCTTTCCTGACTAGTTTACTGGAGACACAAGTGTCACAGACTTGCCCAGGCTGGCTTCAAACCACAATCCTCAGATCTCAGCCTTTTGAGTAGCTAGGATTATAGGCATGAGCCACCAGCACCTGGCTGTTTTTCTTAACAAAAGTAGTTTCTAAGTACTAGATATAGTCTCTCCTCCTAGTTACAGGAACATGCCTGGTGTTTCTGCATACCTGTATGTGGGCACTGAGGGGCACAGGCAGTGAGCCTCAGTGACTCATCAGGGTTAGTTCTCCCTCCATTTACTGGCTAGACTCCTTTCCCCTCAGCCCAGAGGATTTTTGTTATAGTAAAATGACTTCTATGGTTGTGTTCTGAGTCCTCTTCATGGGGTTTATGATAATTAAGTGAGATAATTATAAAGGCGTTGCTCATGTATGAGTAAAGTTGGCATCATAGTATTTCTCAGCCACCAGGGATTTTTCATCCAGAGCAGTGTGGGAAAATAATTGTCCATTAAAAGGTATTTTCTGAGTCCATCATCTTTTTGGTATGAAAGCTGCCATTTCTTTTCATAGCTAGTATTTATTTCAAGTATGGGATATAAGTTTACCTTCTTGTCATCATTTTTGTCATCTGAAATGGAATTATGAAATGTATCACTATGGAGGGCTATAAGAGTGTGGCTCAAGGGGTAAAACTACTTGCAGGTAGGAGGCCCTGTGTTGAAACCTGCAGTACTGTCAAAACAAACAAAAACCATTGTGTGATAATTTTTAAGGATTAGTTCATTTTCTTTCCCTTTTCTGCTTAATTTCTCTTTCTGAAAACAATCAGGAAAAATATGATAGTCTTTTTTTTAAAGGTACGGGTAGGGGGAGAATAGAAATCAGATCTATAAATCTTTTCCTCAAGCAGTTTAAGATCTTTTTAGAAAACTAGATATCACCAAAAAAAGTTTAAACAATGGTAAGATTATAGGTGAGGAACATAAAATGGGAAAACTATTTCAAGTGATGTGAAGGTTTTGTCTGATTATTTGTTTTTGTAGTGCTGAGGATTTAGCTAAGTGCTCTACCTCTAAACTATACCACCATTCTGAACTGAAAAGCTGTTTTGTTTTGCAGACTTTTGAGGGTTGAGGGAATGAATCAAATGGTAGAACATCTGCTTGGGATGCACATGGCCCTAAGATCAAATCCTGTTACCACTCACCCCTACAACACATGCCCAAACAAAACAAACAAAAAACTGGAACATAAGACTTTCAAGAAACTCCTAAATCTTAGAAGTTATATTATTTTCTGATTTGTATCATTAAATAAACAACAGATGGGCTGGGATGGTGGCTCAGTGGTAGAGTGCGTGCCTTGCATACATGAAGCCCTGGGTTTGATTCCCCAGCACCACATAAGCAAAAAGAAAAAAAGCCAGAAGTGGCACTGTGGCTCAAGTGGTAGAGCGCTAGCCTTGAGCTGAAGAGCTGAGGGACAGTGCCCAGGCCCAGAGTTCAGGCCCCACAACTGGACCTCCCCCCCCCCCCCCCCCCCCCGCCAAAAAAAAAACAGAATGAGGCCAATCAGCAGATCTTTCTAAATAAATGTAGCATAAAAATATTTCTATAGAATTCAATATCTTGTTTATTGTTCCATCTGATTTTGTCATTTGTTTGTTGTGTACCAACTGTGTCTCTGTGTGTGTCTATTTTGGGTAGGAAGTAAAGAAAGTGAAGAAGCTAGCCACCCACTCCTGCAGCTGTCTTAACAGCTGCATGTCACATTGAAGGAAAAGTATCTAGCTGTCACAAATGTGATAGAGCTGCAGAAAGTTCATGAAGTTATAG